GAGCAATTAAGGCCCTTCTGTATCATCCAAGACTTGACCATTTCTGGCTGATACTCATATAATCTTTAATCTCAAAAAGGTTTTCTGCCTGAAGAAGTTATTGTCCCAGTACACATTGTCCGTGCATGGCCTTTAAAACAAGGAACAGACTCAGTAAGACAAAGTTGTTTGGCTCAACAAATCAGACACTTGTATTGCAGGAAAGCCAAAAAAGCCAAAGACCTTATCTTGGGAGACATTCTGTTGTTGAGAACAGATAGTGAATATTATAATATGCATATCATATAATTTATGAATATCACACATGTGTATGCATTTCTAGCATTTTTGTTTGAAAATCTTGAAGCAGAGATCCAGTCCTTTCCATGTATTTAATGGGACCAAGATGGGTTTTATACATATATATTCTTTATAACTGATGATCATAAGAGTGTTCATGACCCCTGAGCTTCTTTCCAGAGTCAAAATTCAATATGATGTAGGGAATATCTCATAGATACTAATCCATTACGCATACATTACATAATAACTTTAAATTTAAAAAACAAAAGGTTTATCCACAAGTGTTTTTCAAACAAGCTTGGTCTGTTTACAGATGAGCAATTTGGACCATCACTGAATAGATATTGTCTGGATAATGAAACCTGATGACATGCTTGCCAATGATTATTTCCACACAGAGAGGCTAATAAGAGTACTGTCATTTTTCAGTAATTTCTGGCAGCTTTTATACACCAAGTTTCCATGATATTCCATATTCTACAACTTAAGCAAATGTCCAGAGGTAGTTGCTTCTTTAAAGTAAGCAAAAACTTTGCTGTGTTGTGAAAAGTCTCATGTGAATGGAAACTCCCAGCCCTTTAAGGTTTTGTTGGTACTTGCTCTTTCCCTTGAATGTTTTGTTAAAGATACACGGGCTATCAAAACACATGACAGGGTGGAACAAATTTGTTCCAAAATTATCTACAATAGATTAAAGCACCTTCCCTAACAAAAGATCATGTGTGACCTTTCTTAAATATCTCCTGGAATGTTACATGCAACGGCTTCCAGTCTTCCATGTCTCCGATTTCCATATCTAGCTGAAATGTAATAGCAGCTTAAATTTGGGTTTTGTACAAGTGTTTACACACATATGTTCTTGTGTTACTTGAATTTGCATATTGACTTCCCTCTTTTTTGCTTAAACTAGTATAACTCTTTAAATATTATTGCATAAGATTCTTAATTTAATCTTCTTGCTGGATGTTGTTAGAAACCTTTTTCTTTCTGGTGTTTGTTTTGCTAGATAAAATTGCTGCTGTACAAATAATTTAAAGGATACTACAAGTATGAACTTTTTCATTTTGCATTCTCAGTTTGCATACCATGATGGTATGAAAGTATCGGTAATACTACTTGTATTGCTAGTACAGATACAAGCTAAACCATGGTTCAAGCTAAAGTTTGGGCCTGGGTACTCTTGCCCTTCCCTTCCTCAAATGTGGCTGCAAAAAGAGGATCAAAAGTGTTTGCACCCTGGTTTAAACTAGAGTTTGATGCTATGTCTGAACTGGTAACAACACTGGAGATTTATTGTATTTATATCCCACTTTTCTTCCTCTTGCAAGGAACTCGGGGTAGCTTATAAGGTCCTTCTCTTCATTTCTCCCTCACAGCAACAACCCTGTAAGGTAGGTTAGTCTGAGAGTGAGTGACTTGTCCAAAGTCATCCAGTGAGTTCCATGACTGAGTGAGGACTAGAACCCAGATTTCCCAGGTCCCTAGACCAGCACTCTAACCAACCACATCTCTGGTTTGTAGAAATAAGTCAGTTTCATAAACCATCCTTGTTTGTTTCAATAGTGATAGTTTAAATCAGAGGTGCAGAAAGTAAAGGCCAAGTGTTCCCACTCTTTCAAGACATATCCAACAACTACAAAGACTCCCAGCATTGGCTGTTGACAAAAAGGGGGCAGAAAGACATGGGAATGGGCTGTATGGTTCTTGCAATGGAAACCTCATTCCTAGAATGCTCTAGGAAGCAGTGTTCAAAGGTTCCTGTTCCCTTCCAGGAATGAGCTTCCTATAAGGCCTGTTCATAGAGTGTTTTTTCCTCCCCCCCCCCACTTTATTTTTGTATTTTTTTGGGAGGTAGAGGATGGGAAAGGAAGGGTTAAAGCTGTGAATGGGGGAGAAGGGGGATAGTTTTTGTGAGGGGCTGATGGGGCTTTTTCCCATACCACCAAACCATTGTGATTATGCACTTTTCAGACTATGTTAAGGAACAATATTCAGAGCCTAACCATATGTGAAAGCATTTTAATCACGGGTTGCTCCCTTTCACATTTCTGTAGGAAGGTGTACACTGTATCAGATCCAGGAGCTGAAAGACTCCTGAAAAATGTGCATTTAGCAGAGTTGTAGTGTAGGAATGTAAGCAAGATCACTGGTCTGTGCAGTTCAGTATTGTTGGCATCATGACTGACCGAGGCTCTCCAGAGTTTTGAAGAGGAGCATTCACAGTCTTTTATGGAGAAGCCAGGGATTGAACTGGGAGCCTTCTGTATGCAAAGCACATGCTTTTCGGCTGAACTACAGTCCTTCCCCAAGTTATTCTTCTGCGTAAAATTTGACTGCCAGTGTATGTTCTAAGCGTTGGCCAAGACATCAGGGCTCCTGGTGGCTTAGCATTTCTTATCCCAACTTCCTGCTTACCTTATCAACTAATATTAAGCTAAGAATAGTCCCAGTGTGTGAGGCAGGATTTCACACTATGGGCATAGTAGTATCCCTGAGCCCAAAATAGGAGGGCAGTATGTGCACTAGAAGAGCAGGCTTGTCCAACAGTGCAGAACTGCTGCCAGTTGTAGAGTGACAGTTGTGGAATGGCATTTAGGAACATAAAGGTACTCAGTGAAGCCAGACGTAGAAAGAACAGCTATTTCATAATACTTTCACCTATAGCTGCTCCCCAGCTGTGTACCATAGTTTTATTCTCTTTATTAGGAAGTAACTTCAGGTATTAATTTTGTTACAAAGTAAAACAGTTTCCTTTAACAAGTGATCTATAAATATTGATTTTATTTCTCATATACCCTCTTGTGAATAAGCTGGCAAAGGAGATGAACTTAATCTCCTACTCTGTTACACATTGTGGGGGCAGCTTGGACACTTATCCAGCTCAGTGCATTCCCACTTAAATCAATGAGCCATATAAGAAGATGAGTAATGAGGCTAAACCTGAGGTCTGGCTGTAACAGTCCTGATTTTCATCTGCACAAAATAGTACAACTGTATAGAATAATACAAAGATGCAATACAATTGTATACTGCAGTATGCTACACAGTATTTAAATTCAAGGAAATCAAGTATTGGACAACCACATGTTGGCGATTGCATGAGTGGAGCTGGCTGGAACCAGGGGTTAGGCTAGATGACCTCAGAGACCCCTTCTGACTCACTTTGTTTTAATGTTTCTATGTTTCTATGAAATAAGTGTGTCGAACTTCAGAGTTTTAAATTCCATAAGAGTAAATGTAGCATTTGCATGCAAAGTACTTTTAAGTAGCACTATATGGCTACAATAATTGAAATTTATTTATTAAATTCATATCCTGCTTTTTTAAGTATTCAGAGCAGTTTGTATCATTCTGTTCCTCCTGCTCTCAGTCTTATCCGCCACACAACAACCCTGTGAGATTGGTTGGACTGAGAATCTGTAATTGGCCCAAGTCACCCAGTTGGTTCCTTGGCTGAGTGGGACTAGAACCCTGGTCACCTGAGTCCCAGTCCTGCACTCTTAAGCACTACACCACACTGGCTCTTACTTGTATATACCATTTTTGAAAAATTAGTATGCAGCAAAAATTTTAAGTCTAAGTCAGCAATTCTTTGAAAGTAAGTATAGTGAATATAGTGGCTAAAAGCTATTTCAGGCAAGGAAGCGATTTCAGGCATGCCCAAGGACTTGGGCCTATATGGTGACATTCTTGGGCAGGATCCAGTGCTGTTACTTCACATGCCCTTATACCGTAGTACTACCATAAGCATCCTTTAGAACAGCATCAACAGCATATGCGAGAATGGTGGTTTTTCTGGGGAAACCCATAAATGTGGCATGCATTATTGGTATTGTGTTAATGGTTGGCTTCACTAGCACTATGTCAAAGGCATATGAGGAATGCAAGAATGGGAAAGTGTCCTTCGACTTTTTATTTCATTGAATAGCAGTCCTTCCATGCCATACTACAAGCTCCTTCTGAAAGTTTCTTTGCTTTCAGAAGTGTATATTATTTGGCATAGGAGGTGGTTGTCTGAGAAACACAATACTCAGGTCCCCTTGGCCACGCACTGAGTTCCTTGGATAACAGTGCATGAGACTAATTTCCAGGTATATGCATAGGATTGCATTGGAGTAGATTCTTCATGATTCATCATTCCATAGAGCTGAGAGAATTCTGAAATCAGAAGAATGTTTTTAGCCAAAATCAATATGTGCAATTGTGATGAGAACAAAAGTATATAAAGTCTTTCCTTTGGAAATAAATTGGGAAGCTGCCAATAACATCAGCAGAGTTACAGAATGCTGTTCCCAATTTAAGGTTTTTGAGAGAATTTCAAGAGGGTCTTAAAACATTTGGATTATGGTCACGGTGTGGAATGTTCCCCATATTGTTTCACTGTTCCTGATCATACAGAGGGATAGTAAGTAAGTGAATTAACCAAGTGAAGGTGGTTAATTTAATACAACTCATGCTTTCTATTGCTTACCTGTTATGAAATGTAGCTATACTGGGCAAAGTAATGATGGTTATTGGCATAATAAATTGCTAATAATTTATCCTATATTATTATATAATGGGAGTATTTGCATATAAAATGGTTTAGTGCTACATGCAAATGCAAGCCCTACTAGTTTTTGAAGACAACTGCATAGTCATGAACCAAAAAGCTAAAACCAAACCAGTGATACTGTGTTCTCTGCTATTGTGACGACTCTCCTTTTGCCCCTCCATAGTTCAGCAATCAGCAAGCACTGGGAAGCTGAACTTGCTACACTCAAGGGTAACAATGCCAAGCTTACAGCAGCTCTGCTGGAGTCCACTGCCAATGTGAAACAATGGAAGCAACAGCTTGCTGCATATCAGGAGGAAGCAGAGCGTCTACATAAGCGAGTGAGTTTCAAGTACTTGAATATGTAAAGTTAGTATATTAATTTATATTTGCTTATTGTTTCAACTGAAAAGGTTTAATAAAATATGATACTTCATGTAACAACAAATGATGTTTATGCAAATGGAGTTTAATTTTCTGGAATTCTTGAAATGAAAGATGTTACAGATTTGTATTAAGGTAACTTCTCCAATGATTCCTCCCACACTGCGCACTTTACTTGTCTTGGTAAGAAATGCCATCAACATCACCTTCATCACCACCGCCTCACGTACACTTAATTTTATCTAACAAAATTGTTGCTGCATTTTAGTAAGACTTATTAACAGAGGTTTATACTGCTGTGTGTTTTGTACAAGATTAATCAGTGTACCTATGCAAGATTAATCAGTGTACCTACACGTTTTGTACAAGATTAATCAGTGGCCAGACATTGAGAGGAAGCATATAGCAAGCAGAGACACAGGCTTTATTCATCACTGCATCTGTCTCATACTGCAGTGAGAACTTAGGGGCACAGCACCTTGATGGTGCTCATATGTCCACTGTAATCTGAAGTGCTGGAATTTTCTTTGTAACTAGGTCCTTACTCTTAATTGTTGCTGAAATATTTGCAGACCATGGGTAGTATCCAGTTGTGTAATTCCACAAACTCAAATATTGATATCAGAGCTCTGTTGAATCTTTCTGTTGCCGAAATAGCTGCCTATTATGATGTCACAAGCAGTTGCACAATTTGTAACACAGGCAGAATGTGCAACCAGTTGCACAATGGGTTGCATGAGCAGCTGCATGCATTGCCCTGCCTGTATGAATGTAACTTTAGTTAGATTCTCCTCTTCCATATACTTTGAATCTCTTTTCCCCAACTACAATGCCATTTGTGCCAATAGAACAACACAGTTGGATACTGCCACAAGGCCACAATTTACCAAAGAACATGTGACTGTATTCCCCTAAAATTAATTGAAAACAATGCAAACTAACCATAAAGTAAAGTTTTTGTGCCAGTCTGCACAAAGAAAGGAAAGGGAGAGTGCGAACAATCTCAGTCCAGATGTTAGTGACAAGCACAATGACAGAATAGCATGTGAGCTTAACACATTTTCATCTGCACATCATTGTTGTTGTTTTTACATTGTATTTATGCTTGTGAAGAAACCAAGGCAGCTTACGTAGCTCCATTTTAGCCTCAGCAACAATAGCCGTGTGAGACAGGTTAGCCTGAGAGTCCATGACTGGCCTAAAGTTAACCAGTGAGCTTCATGTAAGAGTGGGGACGAAAACCTGAATCTCCCAATTCTCCAGTCCTGCACTACCTTCTTAAGTTGTAGCATGCACAATTGTCACTTTGGATGCTGCTATATCTTCAACTCAACATTAACTTAGTGAAATCATACTGTAGACAAGTGTAGACCTTCAGACTTGTTATGATCTTCTATCGGTTTCATCTTCCATTTTACTCTACTTCAGTTTGCTCAGCTGAACCTACAACATCTTTTCCCAGATCTGTCAGTGATAAGTTAAGGAAATATTGCTACTTACATAAATAAGGTGCTGTAAAATGTAGAATTAACATTTTTAGTATAGCACCCTCACTACATAGAGTTTGAGCTTACCCATTTCTGTTGCTGGTGAATTCTGTGAATGTATATACAAGAAACACACATACACTTTTATTGCTATTTTGTACTTTTTAAAAAGAAAAAGTGTTTGTTTTTTAAATGACCTGATGAATGAACAACATAGGGGAGAAGTACTAGAGGAAAGACAAGAATGTTGGCTGAGCTGATGTGCAATGTGCTGGTTTGTGTGTCTATTGTTTCAGCATTTCAGGCTTGCAATGCAGATAGGGAAATTCCCATGGGTTCTAATTTCATATTTTATTTTATTTACCTCCACCCTTAAATAGTCTTTCTAGTATGTTGTTTCATTATGTTTCCACTTAATCTGAAATGCAGGAATTCTTTGTTGCCATTTTGTGTGGGTGTCGATTATAGAAAAAATGCAATTTGTATGCAAATTTGTTAAAGCCCAATATCATTGGATGGAAAAGATTTTTCTATGCATGTGCCATTCTCTACAAAGGATCATTGCAGAGTATTTATCACAGCATGCCACAGTGATAAGAACTTCTCTGGAGATAGAGGAGGGAAGTTCTCAAGCTTTCTAAGGGGCAACCTAGGCATCCGATGCAACTGCATGTCACAAACCCCTGGCAGCACCTTTTCCAAAAAGAATGGTTCTGGAGCGGCATCATTTGAAGTGGAAAAGTGGGGAGAAGGTGCTTCACCCTTTCTTTACAGGTGGTTTTCTTCTTCAAAAATTTGCCTCAGCTGCTGTTTCCCTTGTGGGGATTCAGATGCAAGGAGACACATGCTTCTCACTCATGGAGAAGAAAAAGTTACTGGAGAAAGGGATATGGAATGGGAAAATATAAACTGGAGAAAGGGTTGAGCGCCCGTTGTGTACCTGTCAGCTCTTAACCGCCATGTCCTCGTCTCGATATGCCTTGTTTCAGGAAAAGTGGCTGCTAGGGCTGAATTACATATAGCTGACTTCTATGAGTTTATGGGCCTAGTTACATTTGGCTTCCCAAAGTTCCCCCAGGCGGAAGCTTCTAATTAGTCTTGAGGCCAACCATTGTCTCTTCAGTCGGTCTCTCAGGAATTGCCGTGGCTAACTGTGTTCATGCTGATCTTTTGGTGTAAGCATTTTTTCAAAAGAAATAACCATAATTTGTCTAGACTTCTGAAGAGAATCAAAGAATGAAGTTAACTTTTGTAGACTGGATAACTAGCAGTCCAAAGATGTGATAGCAAACATACAATATTAGTATAATGACATATTTGTGCATCATTGAAACCTGTGTAGTTGAAACCTGGTGCTCAGTGAAGAAAGCCAAAGAACTCAGAGAGCTAAACTTCCCAATATTAGGTTGAAACTGACATTCAGGCCAGTGCGCAAACAGTGAGCACTGAGGACTGGCCCCTGATGTCTCTAACGGGTTTTGTCCTCTCTGATAGTGGTTTCACCAAGTTTGCAGAAGGGAAAAATGAGATCACTTAGCCTTGTGGATAGTTTGAGTTCTAGACTGGCCATTGGTTGCACATGCATTTAGTGAAGCCCAGTTCACACCATACACTAGCTACAGTAATTCCTGCTCGTTCTGTTGCTTACCAGAACATTTGTTGTCATGACACTGTGAATTTCCATTTCTGTCCTTCCACCCTTAGATGTTCCTAGTGACCTTAGAAGACTCAGTGTGATGACAATGATTCCCATGTAATATATTTTGAGTGAGATAGCCAGGGTGGGCATTGGTTGTAGCAGCTATATACTGTGGGCCTACCTATATATAAATACCTATATATAAATATTTTATATATAGGTATTTAAGTGCTCTCAAGTATTTACAGAAATAAGTAAGAAAGTGCATATTAAGTGAAAGCTGCATTTGCTGATGATGCAGTTTGCACATTATTTTGTATGCCTATTCCATTGCCTAGTAAGATGGTTTTATGTTCTCCTTTGTTTTCTGAAATTATTGAGATAAATTATAATCATATAAAGTTAGTTATGAAGCTGGTTCTGTGTTACAGGAGATATTTCTATAAATGTGGCCATAAATTACAACAGCAAAAGCTTAGGCAATGTGCTGTCCTTTCTGGGAATTACTAAGAACAGCTGAGAGACTCAGTTGAACTAATAAATCCAACCCTCTAAGGAAGCATATGACATGTTTTTATTTAAAAAAAAAAACATTTTCAATTTACTCTCAGCTTGATGGCTGCAGATGTGGAGCAAATCAAGGTAATGTTGAGTAATCCATGTGTTTGCTCCCAAAAAATGCCTAAGCATACTTTGTTTATTTCCTTAAGATTCTCACTCTGTCTCTGTTTTCTTTAAAGGATTAGACATAACTTTTGAATACATCCACGCTGTTAGGTATGTAGTAAATCCAGTGGCACATTTTCTTTTTTCATCACACCATTGGATGTATATGATTTTCCTCAAAAATTTTGAAAATGTTTTGCTGTGATACTGCTGTAATCGATCAGTTGGCAATCATACTATGTACAGTCATTCTAGAACATCAGATTCTCATTAGATATCTTTACAAGGAATCAGTTATTTTCTGTTTTAGATTTCATTGTTAAATACAGTTTTCAGAGGTCAAGCCTACAAAATATGTAGTATGTATGTGATCCTTGGAAAAATGCAGAAGTAGCAAAGTACCCTGTCACACAAATTCTTTTTATGTTGCAAGAATTGCAAGTCATGTGGAAATAAACTTGCAAGCACCAACTTTTTATATATATTTATACACTTATTTTTATTGTAAATTTCAGAGTCAAAACCCAAAACCTAAACAAAGTGTGGAAGTAAAATGAAAATAAATTGCAGTTATCTTGCATGAGATTTAAATAAATCCATTACAATGAATACATATACTATCCACTCCTACATATGAGGGTTCTTAAAAAAGTTTCCACACTATTTTAAATTCTATTTATTAAGAATTTCAAAAGCAATTTACATTACTTTTCTACATAGTCACCTTCCTTTGCAATGCATTTTTTTCCCCAGTGTTGTACTAACTATTTAATGCCATCAGCAAAAAAATGTTTTTGGTTGAGAGCGTAGCCATTGATGCATGACTGCTTTCACATCATCATCATCATCACCTGAAAATCTTCTTCCCGTTAAAGCTCTGCATCTGTCACATGAGTACATCCATTTTCGAACATTTCAATCCACACATAGACAAGTCTACGAGACAGAACTTTATCCCCATACTGAGCACACATGCAATGATGAATTTGTGCTCCTGGCATACCTTCTGCCCATAAAAAGCATATGACAGAACGCTGTTCCCCTTTGCTCTAATGTATAAGTTTCATAGCCATCTTCACCACAGTGTGACAACTCTTATTCTAAACTGCACCAGCAGCTGGCTTGCCAGACAGACTAGTCGCAGACACAAAACAGTTACTGCTCC